TATGGGACAGGTTCACATGGGTCTTATTCAGCTGACAGGCTGCAAGGAGGAGCAGGGAGGGTGTGACCTGCTGAAAGCAGCAGCTAATGAGAAGCCAGGCCGACCTTTCTGGCTCCCACCCAAGGCCTATTTTTAAAAAGTGCTTGCTGTGCAGAATCTATTGGGAGGTTCAATAGTTGAAACACCACAATCAAATTTCTGCTGGGAGAAGTTACTGTTTATGGGAAAATAAAATTTTACAACGTTGTCCTCTGGTGTTTCTCACCAAAATGAATTACTTAGTGGGAGGCATCTCTGTACTCACATGGCCAAGAAGGATTTTCAGTGTCTACAGAGAAAGCACTGCAGAGCTTTTAACAGGCAACAGCAGATAACTTTAAAACGTGCAAAGGTTTCACTGTGGTCTATAATTGGAAACACACTGTTTTAAAATTATTTAGAATGTATGCTAATACATGTCAATATTAATGTAAATTAATTAAAAAAATTTTAAAGTAATTTAAGCTGTTTTATCAAATTATTAAAATAAATTATTAAATTATTCAAAGTTAAATTAATATTTTAAATTTAATAAATTTAAAGTACTTAGAAATTAAAAGAATATTCACATTTCATAAAAGAACATTTCACACACTTGTGAAAAAAGGAATGTCAGGTTGTGAATGGAATATGTTCTCACTATAGAAAACAAAGCCTAAAACCACATTGTCATGTCACTGTGGCAGGTTTTATTCCATCCCTGCTGCATAGATGAGTACAGGCTGAGGTTTTGAAAGGATAACTCACCCAAGACTGCCCAGGAATAACTGATAAAGCCTAGCTCTCGACTGCTGAATGCAAAAGTCACATAGTGTACAGATAACAGATCTTCTGAGTACATATGAGAGAAATCGGACATGTGGGATATAACATTTTGTTGTTGGCTAATTTCCTAATGTCATAAAGGGTTCCTTAAAAGCATTTTAAGCTGCATTAAAATTCCATTAAGTTAATGTACCATAGGGGAGAAAAGTCACCTTAACATTTTCTTTATTATGGTAACGTTTTTTAATAATTAGCAAAAATTGGCATAAAATACTGGATAGCTCCTCCTCTTTAAGATATGGTGTCAGTTTTTAATATGCCATTGTGATATTAACTAAGGTCATTCAGTTGCACAGTAGGAGCTTTTCAGTATATCTCATCCCCCTCCTCCGACACATTAACCTCATGCTCTTCCTAACTGCCTGGGTAACCAGGCATCATATCCTGCACCCTGGAGTTGGAGAGACACTCACTGTGTCAGGAGGGGCTCTGGGAAATGCTAGGAGACAAGCTGAAGGGTGAAGGAGGATAGCATCTGTTAGGATGGATGGTGGATATGTAAATTGAGAAGACATGAAGCTTAACAATGCTGAACACGTGTTTGATCAACACTTGTCAGCCTTGAATGTACATTAACCTTGGCACCAGGGATGAGACTTGCAGATGCTATCCTTGACCTTCTCTTGTGTTAGAACTAGCCTGACGCTTAGCTTTTACATCTGACGCTAAATTGAATGACTGAATGCTGAAAATTGTATTGCTATAGATAAAAAGTCAGTGAAAGGGTGATGGAACAGAGTTTTCTATTTTCTGGATTACCTGTCCATTTTATAGGAGTGTGTGCTGTTCAGTCAGAAGTTCTCAATTGTACTTGGCCTGGGAGAAGTGGGGATTGTTCCATTGGTTGTTGTGTGCTGAGCTGTGTGTGGAGAGAGCGCAGGACAGCTAGCAAGGTAAATGTTTTCATTACCTTGTTGAATTTCCAGGGACACCTGTGCTTTTTCCGTGCTGTGAATGCCTTGGTCTTCCAGTTTAGCTTGTGTTCTCTTGAGGATCAGGAAGGGGGCACAAATGTGTTGCTATGGAAAGGATGTAGACTTTGTATCTTATACTCCTCACATCTGGGTCTGAACTCACCCACTTACCAGTTCCGGATGTGACTCTGGGAGCCCCATGTCTTCAACTGCGAAATGGGCATTACTGCGTACTGCCCCTGTTCTGGTGAGGACTAAATGAGGTAGCACTGTGAGAAGGTTCCTGGCTCATGGCGGCCTGATAGATAGACACATCACTTCCCTTTCTTTCCATGCCCCCTCCAGAGCAGTGACCAGAGTGTTCCTAGTATTTCCTAACTTTTAGCAGTAGGGTCACACTTCTACACACACTCAATGCTTTACAGCACCTAGGTAGCTAGGACAAGTTAGCTACTCTGAACCTGTTAGCTCATTGATAACATGGAAATAAGTACCTGTCATGTGTGTTGTAAGCACTACATTGAGATAATGAATGCCAGGTCAGAATGGGCACTCGATGACTGGGGAGATGATTGGACAGGACCAGCACAGATTGGACAATGTCTTAAGAGGATAGCCTTCTTCCTGGCATTGTCCCGAGCACCAAGCCTCCTCTGATAGTTGGCATCCTTTCTTCTGTCGACTCACTGGTTCCATCCATCCATTCTATACCTCGTTCTTTTCCTGGGAAGCTTCACCTGTTTCCAAGGCTTCAGCTACCACTTTTAGATGGGTAGTGTCTAAGTTTCTCCTGAGCTGTAGGTCAGTCAGCCCATCTGAATGCTTATCCATTGACACTTGGATGCCCGAAGGAAACTTGAACTAAAAAGGTAGACACTTACTTCCCACTTACTTTCTGCGAGGTGTTCTTCCAGGAAGTCTTCTCTGCCCCAGTGCATGCCATCTGTAGGTCCTGTTTCCTTCTTTCCATTCCTAAATGCACCGTACTTTTAGTGTGGGCCCATGTCACAGAGTGAGCCCTTCCCCCAAGCTTTTGTGCCTCTGGTTAATAACAGCAACAATCACAAAACTGTAATAACAAAACAACTGCACTGCAAGGTTGGGAAAGGCCCCATGGTAACCGTTTGTCGAGTGCGCTCAATGTGCTAGGCATTGCCACTGCTCCTCGAAAACCTGAGTGAGGTGGGGCCCTGCCCTGGGCTCTCATTGCAGAGGCCCCATTCTTGCTTTCCTCAGGGTCAACCAAATGTCCCCACCCAAAGCCTGTCCTGTTCTCTCAGTGCCTGAGACCTCAGAATTCCCTGCTCAGCTAGAGGGAGCCTCCTCCAAGAAGTCACATGTGGCTTCTGACCCAGCTCTTTCAGAAGGCAGGTGGTGCCACAGGCGTGTGCTTCCCTAGCCTGCAGACTGGGCAGGGGCAGCTATTTGCAGGGGTTGTGGACTGAGGTGCAGGCTGAGGTCTGAATCCTATGATACTCCTGTGAGGCAAGGGCGGAACCAGAGGTGGCAAGAGAAGGGGGAGGACCAGGGGAGCTCAGGAGAGCTATAAATGTTAGGGTGGCTGTTTAATCATCGTACCCCTTCTTGAGGCGGGTGAAATATTTAGGTTATAGTTGTCAGAGCCTGAATTTGACCCAGATTAGTTTTATTTCTCCATAATATTCTACTTTCTGTCCATTCTCTACATGATAGCCAAGGTTCCATTTTGTAGAAAGTATCTGAGATCACATTATTCCCTTGATTGAAAATCTTCCATTAGCCCCTCGTTTTCCACTGGCTCACAGCCAGTCTCTCTGGCTTGGTATGCGAGACCCTTCAAACCCTGGCTCGAATCCACCTTGTCAAACACAGTTCTCACCAATCTTCCCACCATGACTTCCCCATCTGGTCACGACAGGACTTGAGCTGTTGCAGAAACGCACTGTGCACCTTTACACTGACAGCCTCAGCTGTCTTCTTCGGCACTTGACTGACCCGCTTATTCTGTCCCCGCCACCCCATTTCAAGACCAAATGAATGTCACCTTGTATGGGAAGACACTTGCATTTTTCCAGGATCACTCCACCTTCATTATGCGTTTACAGTTGATTATGCATACCAGTTATCAATCACAAATGCTTATTGCCTTGTGCTTATGTTTGCATGTTATCACTTGTCTATTACCGCCCTAACCTATGGGCTCCATGCAGACAGAAATTATATGTCACATTCTGTGCCTGAAATTTCACGTACTTCCTGGATATACAGTAGGCTAACTAAACTTATTAAAGACATGATCAATTTATCACTAAAAATCTTCTCACAAATGGATTACAGGTTGTTTAGGAATTCTAATTTTAGTTTGGACAGTTGTATTGATCTGGTAATGGACTGGTTTTATAAGATACTTTGATACCATACCTGGAAATTTCTGCTGTGTGTGTTTGCGTGTGTGCATGTGCGCGTGCGTGTGTGTGTGCATGTGTGTGCGCTTACATTAAGATTGAACCCAGGGCCCAGGGAATGCTAAGCATGAGCTCTACCACTGAGCTATACTCCAAGTACCAGAAGTTCCTATTCGTGGAAGTGTTACGTTACATTTAGCCCCGTTTTGCTGTTGTAAGTTCGGATAAACAGATGCGTGTATTATTTGTGAGCTTCCATAGGCCAGTGGGTCCCGGATAGGGCATAACATCACCGTGTTTCCCAAAGTGATTTGTTTTTAAGTCACCTGTCTTTGGTTGTGTGGACTTTCCTGCAAGATAATATGCCACTCGTATTTCTGCATAAGAGTTGCCATTTTTAAGAAGTAGCTCACATTTGTACAAGGTTATCAGCATAGGAAAAGCTGGCTGTGTTATTGTCCAGCTGGTGTCCTCTTGCCTAAGATTTGAGTCTTCCCTGTGGTTTGTTATTCCTTGTCTCTTCGTGGCAGGGGGCGCTGCCCTCCTGCTGTAGAGCCTGGCCACAGACCTAAACTCTTCATTACCAGCTGGAGTGTTTTCATCATGAAAAAATCATTAAATAACAAAACGCATGTGATCCCAGAACAATTTCCGTAGGCATGGTGCATGCTGTGAGGGTTTTCACACTACACCTGCGGGCCTGATGGTAGGAAAACGTGTCAAAGACAGAAGCAAGATCAAATGACGTGTACTGACTTTACCTTACAGATATGACTAAGGCCACTGCAAGTGAGCCTAGTGCCTGTCAAGGGTTTAAGGAGAAGAAAGAGTCCAGTAAGCCTTTGAAAGATGGTAAGGAATTTCTTTAGAGGGCAGCAAAGGGGAAGCTGTTCTAGGAATATGGTCCAACTGTAGATAAGGGGGAGTCTGGGGGTGATAGGAGGGATGCTGGGAGCCTAGAGGAAGAGCAGGAGGAAACACAGCAGAGTTCAGGGTTCATGGTCAAAGCCTGAAGGCAAGGTGGAGCAGGTTTATGCACACGCAGGAAAGGGCTAGCTGCACTTTTCCCTAGTCTAAAGCAGTATCCGTGGGTTCACCATCCATAGACCCAACCAAGCTTGTACTAGAAGTTGTTTATTTATTATTTTTAACATTTTATCTATATTGAACTTGTACAGGCTTTTTTTACTCCTGCTTATTCCCTAAACACAGTGTAACAACTGTTAACATAGCATTCACACCGTATTCAGTATTATAAGTAATGCAGAGAGGATTTAAAGTACACAGGAGGGCGTATATAGGTAATATTCAAACACTAGGGCATTTTATATAAGGGACTTGAGTATCCCAGAGCCAATCCCCCATGGATATTAAGGGATGATTAATATATTCTTGAATTTTTTAAGATGTAAAAGTAGCCATGCAAGGTAGTGCACACCTATAATGCCAGTACTTGGAAGACTGAGGCAAGAGGATCATGAGTGCAAGCCTGGGCTACATAGTGAGAACCTGTTTCAAAAAACAAACAAAAAGAATGCCTGTCTTCAAAAGACAGAGCTACATTTGGGGGGTGTTAGGGGAATTTCTTTCCATTCCCCCCTCCTTCCACCCACTCTTTCTTCCTGTCTCTCTCTTTCTCTCTCTGTGTGTGTGTGTGTGTGTGTGTGTGTGTGTGTGTGGTGTACGTATGGTTTTTCATTCAAAAGCAGGACTGGAGCATGGTATACATTTGACATTGTATTCCCATTTTGTTGTGCAACATTTTCAAAAAGTTTTCCTGTGTTAAGAAAAACTTCAAAGTTGAATAAATTTATCTCTATGAAAAACAAAAAAAAAAAGAAAAACTTCAGAATACTTTGTTATTGCCTATTACCCCATCCTCTAGCTGTATCCTGATTTAACCTTATTTACGTTGTGAGTGACACTTCAGTGAAAGTCTTTGCATGTGACATTTTGCTACCACTATGATTATTTCCTTAGGAAAGGTTCTTAGTAGAAGAAATCCCAGGTCAGAGCACACGAATATTTTTAAGCTCTTGACATACGTTGACAAATTGCTTTTTTCTGAATTCTTAAGGAGCAGAACCTCTCCATGGGATGGCCAGAGGTGGTTCCCTGGGGTTGTTCAATGTCCCATGGAGGTGCAGAGCAGTTTAGGGTATGTCCAGTGGGCATGCCCAAGTCTGTGAGCAAACGACTTCATGACAGCCAAAGTACGGAAGTGGAAGGATGGACGGACAGAGGATGGGAAGAAAAGAGTGTCTTCATAAGAGATCTCTCACCCACTTGGTCTGTGTAGACTGCTTCACCCAGTTCTTGGGGCACGGTTTGAGGCTGACCAGTGCTGAGTAGTAAGGCTGCCCTGGAGCACCTCAGGGACCCTGGGGCCTGCTTGGCCTTTCATCCATGGGAGAATTTTCTTTCTTCCCCTTGATTTCCTCATTAGTAAACATTGATGAGATTTGATCTTCACTGGGTTTCAGTGATCAAGGGTCTTCTAAATCCATAGCACATTGCTGAGCACCCTGGAGGCTTTAATATATGGCACTCTGTGACTTCAGCTATCACTCTCCCTTCTATCAGCTACCCTGTGGTTGAGGTGACAAAATGCCTGACGCAGAGAAAAAGGCCAGTGCCGGGCCAGCATGAAGTGTTGTGTCCTCTGGAGCGAGCAGCCACTCATTTGGCCTTTTTATTGCATGTGCTCTTCTTTACAGGCTCAGCTAACCTGTAAATAACCTGCTGTTAGCACATCTCAGGTGCTTTACTATTTTTGGTTATTAGAAAGTAAATTTATACTCATTCCTACCTTGGACAGGAGCAATTCCTATTTTTCCCTTTGTTTTATACTCAGGGTCTAGTACTTAATAGATCTCAATGTTTGTCAAAAAGTGGATTCTAGAACAATCTCTCATAGAATTCATCTGCACTTTATGTCATCTTCTCCCCCTAGAAATAAAAAAAATAGTTTTTTTTCTCCCCGATTATAGAGAATTCATACCTTATGGTGAAAGTATTAATACTGATAATCCCAGATTGTAGGTGAAAATACCAAGCCATGATCCATTGTTAATTTTTTCTAAGATGAATAAATTATCTTCTTGATTTGTAGTGTTTCATAGTTTTAAAATATTGGAATAATATTAGATAAAACTTTAAAATGAAAAAAGATAAGCCCGTTGTCCTTCATAAGAATGTAACAAAATGTTTTGTGTTTATGTAGCTTTTTAGATTGTCTGAAGCTATTTTTAAAAAAGTAGACCTATCAAATAGCAAAGATAAAATTTGTATAGTTTGGTCCATTGTGTACACAGGTTACTGATTTCTGCCTGACCCTCTGTGTTATCAAACAGTGATTTAATAAATGATTTCCATCACGGAATCCTAGAATTGTAGAGTGTACAAATATATGGTGCCTCCATGCTCCTTCCTGTCTAGTACATAAAGGAAGAACCAGCCCAATACCAGAAATATCTTTGGTTTTACTTGAACTTCACATTTGTGCTTGTGTTGGGTGATTATTGGTGAGTCTTACCTTCCCCTATTCACCTATCTTAATTTCCCTTTGTCTTTTGTGACCTCCCAGCCCAATACTGCTGGTCTGTGAACTGTAACAGAGCTGTTAAGGAAACAAGTTCAGTCTCCTTGATACAACCAGACACAGTGTCGCTGGATAATGTCCTCTTCATGAATATGCAGTGCTGCTAATTATACTTCTTCAAGAAATAATGGCATGTCAGGACATGAAAACTGGAGCCACTGCCTTTATTTAATTAAGCAAGAATGAATCTGCACGTGCCTGCGCATAAAAAAATGATCACTAAATGTAATTGAAAGTTGGTTTCCTATGCCCTTTCCCCAATAAGGCAGCATCCAGAAAAATCAAAAGATGATTTATTCCTATTCAGAGTGTACAAAAGGACTGAGTGTGTGCCATGTCACATCTTCATCATAAATCTCATCCCAAGATCCAATTAACAGGCTTGTTATGCCCTCTCATTAAAATCACTTTAAAAAGGGAAGGAAGGATGTGAGGGGAGTCTGCCATTTCATCGATTGCCAGGATTGATTTGGCTGATCCCCTCACCTCCTGTGAGTACACATGTACACACGCACACACACACACACCCAGGAAGCCAGCAAACTGCTTCTGTCCAGGGCTTAGTGTAGCATCACTTCACAGGTCTTCCTAGCAGAACCCTAAACCCAGTCACTCCAGGGAACTCCACTCTCTACTTTAGTGCAGTCCCTGAAGTTTCTGCCATGTTGGGTAGGGTCCTTTCTCCTATGGGCAGGAACTCTTAACTTGAGATCCCTGTGCAACTAGAGTTCAGGGACCCATGAGTCCCCTTGGGAAATGATATGTGACCTCCTCTAGGAAAAGGGTCTTTTGTTAGACTGTGTCTAAAATAAGTCTAAGAAACCCATCTGGTCTAGCTCTGCTCTGAGTTTTTTGAGGCCAAAGGTGGTTGGGAGGTACTTGGTTTTGGGTATCATACGGATTTAGACATGAATTGTTTCCAATCCATTTTAGCTGTATGGTCTTGAGCAGGCTACAAAACTCAGAGCCCATACTTTCTCAAACATAAAACAGGAAGGAAGGCCTATTTTAAGGTTATAGTGACAGATAAGACTAAATGCAGAAATAATAGGTGATAGTAAGAACTCTTTTTCTTCTGTACATTCGTGAATACAAATGAAAGCAAGTGTCTGGTCTTCCCCAGCACCCAGCATGTATCTGGCACATAGTAGGCACTAAATGTTGGTTCCTTTGGTGGCTGGATGGATACAGTGCCTTGGTTCAGTGCCCAGATGAAATCCCTGTCTATCGTGACACCTTCTCAAAGCACTTATTTCTAAGACAGATCATTGTGCTATCATTGCTTTGCTGAAACCCTCCAAGAAGCTCCATGTGCTATGCAAAATCTTCCCAAGTACACAAAAAGAGTAGATGTGTATATCCAAGACTGAGCATCACGGTAAAAGCTGGGCTTTGTCTTTGTCTTTGTCAGGACTGGGCAATACAGTCTGTAGGTCCAATCCAGCCTTTAACCTGTTTTTAAAAATAAAATCAATGAGCATTGATCAAGGCTATATTCCAATAAAACCAACAAAAAGTCAGTGACTGTTTTTGTTCCTCAGCAAAGCTGAATAGTTAGAACAGAGACCATATAATCTGCACAGCCTAAAATATTTATTTTCTGGCTTTTAACTGAAAAGTATGTTAACCCCTGATATATTCTCCATGTACTCTTTACTACAATCTTCAGGATTTTTTTTTTTTTTGTGGTTTTAGGGCTAAAACTCAGGGCTTTGTTCTTGCTAAGCAGGTGCTCTACCACTTGAGTCACTCCCAGTCCTTTTGCTCTGGTTATTTTGGAAATAAGGTCTCACCTTTTGTCTAGCTAGTCTGGACTACAGTTCTCCTGTATTAGGCTTCCTGCTGTCACTGGGATGGCAGGCGTGTACCACCACACCCAGTTCTTTCTCATGAGATGGGAGTCTCACAAAAATATTTTTGCCCAGGCTGGCCTGGAATCACCATCCTGATCTCAGCCTCCCAAGTAGCTGATGACAGGTGCACACTGCAGTACCCACCTATTGGTTAAGATGGGGCCAGGCTTCTACCTGGACTGGCCTTAAACCACGGTCTTCCCAATCTCAGCCTCCCAAGTACTGAGGATTACAGGAGTGAGCCACTGTGCCCTTAGACCCAGCTAAGATTGGTCTTTAAATGCCTTTTAGACGTGCATGGTGGTGCACATCTGTAATCCCAACCACTCAGGATGACCATGAGTTTAAGGTCAGCATAGGCAAGGTTAGCAAAACTCTGTCTCAAAAACAAGATACAAAGAAAAGGACTGGGGACATGGCTCAAGTGGTAGAGTGCTTTCCTAGCATGTGTGAGACCCTGGGTTCAGTCCCCCAGTATCATAGGCACAAAAAAGAGCCTTTTTATGGATTCACCAGACTTAAATGTCTTGATTGAGATTGCACAACTTACACGTGGTTAGGGTTTGATTCTAGGCCTTTATAATTCCACAGCCCATGGAAAAGACTGATACTAGTCTTTCAATTCAGTCAAACCTAGTTGATCCACCTCCCTCTGTCAGCCCTCCCTGGTGATCACGATTGGCATGGAGAGCCAGTGAAGCCCCCTGGAGTTGTGGTGCAACCTGACTCAGGTCAGCAGTGTCAGTGACATGATGACAAGGTAGAATGAGGACTTCAGGGCTACTGCTGCAGATGGCAGGGTGATGTGGATGTTCAGTTGTTCAGACACTCCCTTGGGAAGAGCCACAGGCCGAGCGTGTCCAAAAGGGCCCATGTAGCTGCTAAATGTGGCATCCCGTTTTTGTTTTGTTTTTTTTGTCATGATGGGGATTGAACCCAGGGCTTTGTACGTGCTAGGCAAGCGCTCTACCACCTGTGCCTTGCCCCCAGCCCATGAATGCGGCATCCACTCCTACTGGGTGCCCTGGTGAGGGGTTATGTAATCTGGGTGTGTTTTCTGCACATAGATACCTGATAGATTTTCCCCCACTCCAGACGACTAGGCTGTGGAGGCTTCTGGACCTCCAGATTTGCTCCTTGATACTGTGCTTCCACTGGATCAATCTGACTCCAAGTCGAAGATGAAAGTCCTTTCTCAGCCTATTAATCCTGATGGAATTTTGATTGTTTTAAGGGTTTGCTGAAGTCCTGTGCTGCTTCTGCTACTATTTCATCTGCCTTTATTCCTACATCTCCCTCTCCTTTCACCCTTATAATTAATTTTACCAAGCTCATGAACTGGTTATGAGGGAACAAAAGAAACAAAATTAGAAAAATCAGCTCTTCCTGCTCTAATTCACTGCACAGCATTATTTGCCTCGTAACTGTGATGAGCTGACCATAATGATAACAGTGACTAAATTATAGCCATCCAGCTGAAAATAAACAGTTGGGTAATCTATCCATCTGTCAGAGGATGTATCTCAGGAAAAAAAGACTGATGTTAACCAACCATGGTATAAAAATGGACACGGTAGTGTCGAGTTGGTGAGGGGAGAGGACAAGGGTTAGGAAGTCAATGTTCTTCCTGACAATCTGTTGTTGGCTCTGTCTTTGTGTCCGGCATTGGAGAGTGTCTGTGACTCTCACTTCATCTGCTTGGAGCTGCTGATGGAAGATTCCCTGACAAAGCAGCAGGAAGGGATCAGAGCTATAATTAGCTTTCTGTTGAATTGTGTTCTACAACAGTGACCCTTATTTCTGCAAAGATGAAACCCTCCAGTCTGATCCTGTGGTTTTCACACTCTCAATGACAATGAATCTTTCCATGTCTGCTGAAAACATAAACAGATAAAAAAACGGCAGCTCTGCTTTTTCGGGGATGGCTCTGGTAAAATGCAGTAACATTTCATTTGTTGTGTCAGTGTAACTCCAGAGGGAAATAATGGGTGATTAAAATTCTTGGTCTGTTGTTTAATTATTTAGAATGAGTGCCTCTAACAAAGATATTTTTGTCTTTATAGCTCTTTTGCTTTATTTCCAATGTATTTTAATGCTCTGATTTTTTTAAGCTTTAAATATCCACGTTTTATGTTTGCATATTGTTGGCCAATTCAACTGATATCTGATTGTATCTCTGCCATGGAAATGTGTCACAAAGCTTAATCCACCTCTTTTTAAACTATTTTTTATTAGCATACATTAATAGTACAAGGGGGTTTCATTATGATAATGCCATAGATATGTACACGTTCACCCCTCTACTATATTTCCCTGAACCCCTTTCTCCCCGCCCCCCCCAACTTTATCACATAGTGTGTCGTGGATTTCATATTGGACTGGGGGTGGCCCAAGAGGTAGAGCACTTGCCTAGCAAGCACAGGCACTGAGTTCAAATCCCAGGGCTGCCAAAAAAAAATAAAATAAATAAATAAAATTTCCATTGCCAGATGTGCCTCTTAATGGAGACGTCACAGAAAAATTTAAAATTGTAAATGATTTGTTGAATGTGTTGAGCTGGGGAGGGGTTGACGAAACAATAGGCCGTTAGTATTTATTGGTGATGTAGAGTTGCTGGCAAAGATGCACTTACTTCCTAGGTAGGGAAGGGGCTATGAGCAAAGCACAGAAATTTATATGAATTGTGCTAGAGTTGTTCACCCCAGATGTACAGGGTGCAAGCAGTGCATTAATCTAGGAAAAGGTGGACCCCGCTGTGTATTAATTAGCATAGCGTATAGTAATTAGAGAAAGTCTTTGTATTTGCTCTCCCCGTGAGAAGGCAAGCTCCCGCACAGCACAGCGTTTTCATGTGCCTTTGCATTCTGGTTAGAGTGGTCGTGTATGTGGGGGGCGGTGTTGTGAGGGGGAGTACAGAAGGCTTACATCGCCTGATTGCCAGCTCTGCAGAGCTCACATGTTGTCCTTGTTTCTGTGACTGCCAGGGAGAAATGCCTGCTGCCTCTCCAGTTGGCTTTGGAATCCAAGAATGTGAAGCTGGCCCAACATGCTTTGGCAGGGATGCAGGTAAGACTTGGACTGAGTGCAGAGGGTGATAGAAATTGACAGACCACTTTTGCATTGGAAGAGCAAATGGTTAACATTTGAAGTGCTGGCTGTTTAAAGATCCAGACAAAATTCAATTCAAGTAGGACATAGTTATGGAAGGTAACAGGATCTTTTTACATTCACTACACTTGCTGGGGCCCAGTGATATTTGGTTGAACCTTTGTAGTCAAACACAATGCCTGGAGACCCAATAGGTGCACACAGATATGAAATTTTTTTTTGTAGAGTCCAACTTTTAGAAGCGTAAGGAATCCCAAGAAAGAGAGACCCCAAGTTCATACCAGTGCAAGTCTCATACACGTTCCACATCTGTGGTGAATACAATGAGAATTGATGGTAAACTGGGAAGATTTTGTTTTGTTTTTTTATTCTACAGTTAGACTGGTGAATAGATTATTTTGTTTCTAGAGCAAGACTGGGAAGAAAAGAGAAATTTGGCTTAGTAAGAAAAGTCAGAGTGATGGAACACATGTCTTTCTCTGAGCGTTTGTGTTTTATACCAAACAAAGGCTCTAGCTCCCATAGTGAGAGGGTGACAACTGTAAAAATACATTGACTTCTAAAGTGATTTGGTTTCTAGACATAAGCACTCATGTGCAAGCTGCAGGGTTTTGTGACTGTGTTGGTGGCATTTGTCTATGTGTTTCATGTCAGTAAAGACAATTTCACAGTTAGCCTTTTAAGTTCAGAGAGGTCCATAATCCTCTTAAGAGTCAATATCCGTGAGAGTCAAAATGAGTCTGGGCACAGTGGCTCACCTCTGCAATCCCAGCTGCTCAGGAGGCAGAGATTGGGAGGATTGCAGTTCAAGGCTAGCCAAGGCAAAAAAGTTAGTGAGTCCCTATCTCAACCAACAAGCTTGGCCTGGTGACATGTATCAGTAATCCCAACTATGCAGAAGGTGTTAGTAGGACAGTCAGGGTCTGAGGCTGACCCTAGGCCAGATCCTAGACAAAAAATGATTTAAGCAAAACAAAACAAAAACTGGGCTGGGGGTGGCTCAAGGGGTAGTGTGTCTGCCTAGCAATTTTGAGGCCCTGAGGTCAAACCCTAGTTACCACCAATGGGGGGGGAGGGGAAATGAGAAAACAGCTCTTTTTATCCCCAGTGGATTAAAATTATTATATATTTCTTATGCAAAAGCATTTGAAATAGTTAAACACTGAATAAATTATTAAAACCTTCTGCTTTCCTCAGCCTAATTGGGCCACCATAAAAATGAATGAGTCTTTGCTTTGATCCGCTGTGTTTGTTTGCTTTTTTCTCATATTATATAGATTCCCCTTGGGGTTCTTTTTTTAACCCTGTGACACTCTAAGTTGCGGCTCCATGCGTCCCAGGGCTAACTTGCTTGTCTTAGCTTCTATGACTTGGCAAGTGTGGGTCTTTCTTTTCCTATCTGTCTGTCTGGCCCCTTCTACCTACTGCCTGGTGATGTCAGGCACATAGTCAGAGCTTCCCAGGCTTTATCACATTTAGTAAAAGCAGCTTTGTATTTGAAAACTTTAACTCTGGGCTGCCCTGGATGTACAATATGAATGTGAAAAAAAATCCCCTTTGAAAGAATTGGGATTGTCACCATGCCAGGTGAGACTGAGTTCCCAAAGTTCCTCCCTAGCTGGCTCTACCTATGCTGGAAAAGAAGAAATCAGACAGGTATAAAACTAAAGTGCTATACTGGGGTCCCCAAACCCACGACATCAGTTCAGAACCGGAGAAGAAGTCTCGTGAGTGAGAATCAGGGGTCAGGATGAGTCAGGATGTGCTGTCACCACCAGCCACAGCCACACTCAGACCCGGGGATGTGGCTCAGGCGGGGCATTAGCCCTTAGGACCAGGCAACCCCGGTGTATACCGGTTCCCTCTCAGAGCCACATTCGGAGCAGGACAGCACAGAGGAAATGAACTTGGGGCTTCAAGACCCTTTCTTTCTGCGCCATGATGCTACATTCAGAAAGGCACATGGGGACTTGGGTGTGGGGGTAAGGGTCCCCTGGGCATGTCCACCCTCCATCCCTGTCACCTGAATAACTGCATGGCCACACACAAGAATTTCGCTCGCTGAAATTCAGAATGAATTCTCTAGTGTTAGGAAAAAGTCTGCCAAAAGCCGTTTATCCAAGGTTGGATGCAGTTGTCTTTTTAAAGGCACATAGGGTAAGTTCTTTCCTAAGGGCCTGTAGCCAATGCCTCCAGGTAGCAAAAATGATCGTGGATATATAATAAGATAAGGCAATGGAGAGCCTGTCTGTGACCACAGCCCTCTGCCTCTCTGCAGAAGCTCCTGTCGGAAGAGAGGTTTGTTTCCATGGAAACAGACTCTGATGAGAAGCAGCTGCTCAATCAGATCCTGAACGCCGTGAAAGTGACACCCTCGCTCAATGAAGACCTGCAGGTGGAAGTGATGAAGGTTGGTTTGATGTGGTCACCCATGTGTATCATTGGGACAGGAAACGCTCTGCTCCCTGCGCTTGTTATCTTGGAACGGATGCCTCTGCGTTGCAGTCATTGTTCATTTAGAATAGGTGACCATTGCCCTTGTTCACAGTCCTCCAAAATTACCTTGATTGTTTAACAGCAAAAAAGGCATAATTTCATAAAACTGTAAGGTATTTTGGTCCAACCCTGAGTATCAAAGGTGCTTAGGAAGTGTATTTGTCAGCTTGGGGTCAGTCTGACCATTCCAGATATTCTGCCTGCCTGCGTGTGTTACAACGAAGCAGAGACTTAATATGTTTTGATAACTCCTGGGATTGCAGCATGGCCAGCTTGGGAGAAGGAAGACCATCTTTTGGAGGCACATAAGAATTGCCTTTTGTTTTTCTTCCTTAACTTATGTGAACCTTATCTCCAACGACCACCTCTTTTTAGGGTGGCATCTCTCCATCTGCTCTTCCTTCTTTTCCCTTGGAAACTTCCATGAGTGAATATTCCTTATGCTGACTGGAGTGCTATATTCTGTGACTTAAGAGTGAGTTGATAAAGCAGATACCTTAAAAGCAACTGAGGCCAATAGGAAAAGGGGACCAGGAACTAGAGAAAAGGTTAGATCAGAAAGAATTAACCTATAAGGTAACACACACACACAGGAAATTAATGTGAGTCAATGCCCTGTATAGCTATCCTTATCTCAACCAGCAAAAACCCTTGTTCCTTCCTATTATTGCTTATACTCTCTCTACAACAAAATTAGAGATAAGGGCAAAAATAGTTTCTGCTGGGTATTGGGGGGGGGAAGGGAGGGGGCGGAGTGGGTGGTAAGGGAGGGGGTGGGGGCAGGGGGGAGAAATGACCCAAGCCTTGTATGCACATATAAATAATAATAATAATAAAAAAAAGAGTGAGTTGAGAGAAAAAGGATAGGTTCTCTGCCCCAGAGCAGCACCTTGGTCACAGCAATACAGCAGAAACCAACAAGATGGCTTTTAAGAATGTGATCTGCCCTTTTCCTCCCCAGGGGAACATGTGTAGAGGAACATTCCAGAATAGTTGGTGTCATACAGTAGTTGATTTCTTTCTGGAAATGCATTGAAGGGTTTTGTCTTGGGTAAAAGATTTTACTTCTTTGGGTTTCAGTGTCTCTATTCGGAGAAGACTGGCCTCAGTCATGACGGTTCCTCACTGCCCTGGGGCTGTGGGTAATTTAGGGTAGTCAGCCTGCCTAGTTTGAATCCTCCTCCCTCCATTCCTAGTAGGATATCTTGGACAGATTCTTCACCACTCAGTGTCTTGGTTTCCTCATCTGTAAGTAGTAGTACCTTCCCAATAGGATTTGGGGGGATGAAGCAAGATGACATTTGTAAACTTAGCATGGTGTCTGGCACAGAGCAAGGATTCTGTGTTCCTCCTGCCACCACCTCTGTCTACTGCTTCTGAATCAGCGCTCTGTGGGTGGGTTAAGGAACATGTGCTTTCCTCCAGTGTCCCAAGTGAGACGCAATAAACACTGAGAACCTAGCTGACTTTAAAGATCTCGTTTCTAGCCAGGTGCTATGGCTGCCTGCTGTAATCTCAGCTACTCAGGAGGCAGAAATAGGAGGATCATGGTTTGAGGCCACACTTGGGCAAAAACTTAGCAAGACCCTTTCTCACCAAGTAAGCTGTGCATACTGATGTGTGTGTGATCCTAAGATATGTGGGAGGTAGAAGTAGGGTCATGGTCCAAGGCCAACCTTGGGCAAAAGTGCAAGACTGAAAAATAACTAACACAAAAAGGACTGGGGATGTGGCTGAAGTAGTAGAGCATGAAGTCCTGTGTTCAAAAGCAAAACAACAGCAACACAAAGGTCTCCTTGATTTTTAACTCTCTCTGCTTCTGGAGCATTCAGCTTTGCCTTATCTTTTGACATGTTATGCCAGCTGTGTACTCATAGGAACTGGGCATAACCACCTTTAGATTTGTTTTGTTCCTTACTCCCTCTGTGCCCCTCTGAAAGGAGAGGTCAAGCCAGCCTGCTCGCCAGTCACTGTTGTGGCCTCCAAGTCTAGTCTTTGAATCTCCTCCATCTGTGAGGTCTCCAAGTACAAGAAGCATCCTTGCAGGTTGCATGTTTTTCTGGAAATTCTCCCAGGGATAATTTTCATGGAATTTGGGATTTGTGTTAAAAGTGAAAACAAAGAAGGATAGATTCTTCTAGGAGGCATGGACATGCAGAATGTTTAGTGGCAGTGTCAGCAGTAACACCTCTTTTGAGAACTTGTACTTGCTAGTGAATTCCAGCCCAGCGGGGCCTTTGCCTGCCTTGCTGAGGCCAGGAGATGACATGTGTCAACTCCAGTGGAAGTCATGCAGACTCTCTTAATGACCTTCCTAATGTCACCATAACAGGCCATGGCACTTTTAATCAATGTCTAGGAGGAAAATCAGACATTTCAAGAAAGAGGAGAAAAAGAAAAGAAAAGAAATTATCCAGATGGTCATTCTTTCTAATTAAATTTCCCAAATCTAATTAAAAGAGCCTTAAAAGGTAAGGCTCTTTGCTATATGCTATCGTTTTCAATTATTTTAATATTGAAACTAGGAAAATATTTAAATTCACATCAAACCTACTTTAAGTTAATTTTTTGTAGTTTACTTTGATTTTAAAGAAACATTTTAGCCAAGTTGTTAGAAAATTAATGATGAGATAATTGTATTTTTGGTGGTTTTATTACCAATGAAATGAAACTTTGGACTGTGGTAGGTGAAGACTATCATTTCCTATTTTTGAGATTTAAAATTCTCATTTGGGTACAAATATTGATCTAAATTATAGAATTTCTGGCTTGGAATAGCACGTTGTATCTCCCCTTCTCTGCATAAGGGATTTCTATATTAACTTTGTAGTAATATGCAGTAATATATCTCATAGCTAATGAAACAGATAAAATCTCCTACTAAGTCCTGATTTTGCTAATTTCACTTTTACATTGAAATGTTTTTACCACTGCTTCTCCCAAAAATTACATTTAAAAGGAAAAAAGGGAGCCAGAGAACTGGGTAAGTCTGCAAGGAAAGCCTAGATTCCCACTACACAGAAAGGGTATGTTAATTGAGTCTTGTTTTTTTTCTACATAACTTATTTTGGTGATAAATTTTTAAAGCTAGATTTGTCCTATAAAAATGCTCATTTTTGCATGAATATTTTGTAGGTACTGAAAATCACTTAAAATGAGATATGGTAGGCATTTTCAAACGTTGGCCTGGGTATACTATTCAGGAGGGATAAAACCCACTATGCAATTTTTATGTCTGTCTCACCACAGCATTGTATATTTTTAGAACAAATCCTACATTTTATTTTTTAGAAGCTAATATAATGCATTTTATTTACATATTGCTGTCTGCTATGTCTATAAACATGAGAAATTGAACCAGATCACACTCTTAAGATTAGATAGCCATTGGATTAAATCGGACAAAGAATAATATGGAGTCCTCTTTTAGAATTGTCCCCAGGATTAAGCAGAAACTTGCTGAAAATGACCCTCAGTTTCTGGTGATAGTGTTCTCATTGAGAAAGAAGGTCCTAAACTTTGAATCAAAGGGTTAAAAAAAAAAGCAATGATGCTTGCTTCCAACAAATTAAGTAGGAATGAGGCTAAATCAGTGTAGGAACTGTCCTGTATGGTTTTAGTGTTTGATAGGAGAGAGAGAAAAGGCACCTTTGATTTATTGAAATGGTCATGAAATCCAAATAAAAATTTTATAGCTCAAGCAAACAAAGTGTCAGAATTGTAAAGAATCAGAAAGAAGGTTTCTCTGAAGATAGATTATGATGAAAGGGATTCATGGATGGCAGGGAGGTCTTTAAGATTTAGACTAAATTCTTGTGTTTTGGTAACATTTTCCCCTGGTGTGTGCCATTTATGTAAATGCCATGAAGACGTTCTAGGAGCCATGGACATAACTAATGATGTCCCTGACTAGAGTAATTAGGACTTTCTTTCCTTCTTACTAATGGATAACCTTTAGTGAGGTTATTAACTGATACAGTTGGCTTAGTCTTCAAAGGCAGGAAGGAATTATGGCTGGCCTTCTGCCTCTGTGAGAGATGTGAGCATCCTATCTGGGGAGGGCAGGCCGGCTTTGGTGATAAGGAAGGATGGGATTCTGGACCAAGAGAGAGCATCCAATGAGTGTTCTATTATTGGATGTTTTCTTTTATGTATATTTTGAGATAGTAGAAGTGAATACTGGTGGAGTGCAATTGTCAAAGAAGAGATGGCAGGGGCTGATTATTTAACATTTTTTATGCATCAGACACTCAAGCAAGTACTTTGCATTCATACTAAGGTCTCATAGCTAGTGAAATAACAAAGCCAGTATCTGAACCATAATTCAGCCTCAGGGGAAATCTGTGCTTTTAAACAGTAGGTTCCCTTGTCTGCTAAGACTATCCTGAAAAACCTGTAGGAGGTAGACATTTACTTTTTCCACTGTATGGAAGGTCAAACGAAAATTTAAGTCACAGGCCAATCAAAGTTCCTACAAGCATGAAGCCCTGAGTTCAAATGCCAGTACCACAAAAACAAACAAACAAACAAAAAAGGGCAAAGCTAAGAGTAGCTCAGAGTCCTGTATGTTTTTAGAGGATATTCTCTCACTAATTCCATGAACTAGATTCAAATATGAAAAGGAGTATCAGCCTGAAAACGTGGCAGCAGTGGTAGAGCATCTGCCTAGCAAGCACAAAGCTCTAAGTTCAAACCCTAGGACTGCCAAAAAAAAATAAAGAATTGGGAAGTCAGTGCAAGAAGGGAGGTGAAACAGAAAGGATACTGGGGGGTGAAGAGGATTAAAATACTCTACATATATACATATGAGGAACCATAATGAGCCCACCAAACACTGTTTGCAAAAGGGGGGAAGGAATAGAAGTATGAAGGAGCGGTAAGCATATTCAAGGGATGTATGCGTGTATGAAATTA